GTACCTTGATGATATCACATCCCCAGGGACCTGCTTCTGCTACATGCCCCCCCCTTAAAATCCCACCTATGAATCTATAACAAACTTTTTTCTAAAACTCAAAAAAATCTAGTTGTTCAAAGTTGTTTAGTTGTTTAAAGTCCAATAATACATTATTTATAGTGGAAGTCTTAAAAATTCATTGAAGCATCATAGTTTAACATAAACATATAATCAATATATATAAATATTCCATGGATACTTGAAGAAATATATATTCACTAATACCTGGGTAAAATATTCTATAGATTTCCCTGAGAATCTTTTAATATTATGTAGCTCTCTGCAATCATTACTGATTTGGGAACCTAGTTATCAAATATTGAGAAAAGCACACTGAATTTACTCATTACCATTGTGAATTTTTAATTTCTCTTTTTAGTTTTTAATACACTTTAAAATTTTTTAATTTTAATTTTTATATTTTGGACGGAGTCTTCCATAGCCCAGCCAGCCTGGAAAGTACTATATAGAGCAGGCTAGCTTCACTCTCACAAAGATCTGCCTGCCTCCACCTCCTGAGTGCTGGGATTAAAGATAAATATGCCCCCTGTTTATATAATTTTTTTTGAAATATCTACTTAAAATGTATGCTACTGAATAGGATCTCAAATTATGCTATCCTTCTGTGCTAACTACTTTTGGAGAAGGGCTTTTTTTAGGTTATTTTGTCTCATTAAAATAGTTCTGCACTAAAACTCCTTTGGGCATGTCCATTTGATTTACCTATTTCTATCATTTTGCTTTCAATTACAGTTTTTTTTTTTTTTTTAAAGGTATATCCCTTTTAAACAAAGATGGCCAAATCTGGTTTTATTCCAATCTTTTCTTCTAACTAAAAAATTTGTTCCAATTACAGTTACTATGATCAAGGTATTTCATTATTTCTACTACCTTATTTTTGCACGTCCTATTTACTCCTTTCTAACATTAATTTTGTCTTTATCTTCTTTTAGATTAACTTATACTTCATTCTAGTTTTTGGCTCTGCAATATTTGACCTCATGCATTTTATTTTGATCCTTTTAGAGCTACACTAGTAATTCTTACTTGTATAAATAAAGTTCAAAAATTACTATCATGTTCCATTCTAACAACACAATAATCTGGTTATTCAAACACTCTTCCAATTTGTATAGCATTCCTTGTCAGTATTGCAGCTGATCGTTTTTATCACTGTACTGTTTTTAGGTCAGATTTCTTGTTTGTCTGTTCATGCCATTCCTTCTCAGGGATCAGATCTTTCATCAGTTATTTTGATTCAGAAAAAAATCATTCTCAAGAATTTCTCATAGTAAAAGCCAAATGATGGCAATTCAGTTTGTATTTGGAATAGCCTAGTGGAGACCACTTTTTATAAACTTTTAACCTGGGAATATTGCAGCCAATATTCAGACATCTAAGGTCCAACTGCATTATAAATTGTCATAGAAAATTTTTGTTATAAACTTACTAGTCTGAGTCAGACTTTAAAAAGCAAAAACACAGCTTTGAAAAAACCCTATAGTTTGGCAACTGTTTTGGAAAATGTTTACATTTTCTGGAAATATTGCAAAAGCACAACGCTTACAACTCAAGAAGTCTACACTTTTGAGTAGGTGGGTGGGGCAGAAACAAAAGGAAAAGGGTTTTGTTTCTTAGCTCAACTTTTCCTCATGGATGCTTCTTTTTCCCGCTCCAGCTTCACACATCTTTGATCTGGTTTTTCACCTTGCTCTGGACAGTGCTTTCGGTGAGGTCCCAGGGCTTATGACTACTGTTAAAATCATACTCTGGTCGCTTAGATTTGGCAAGCCTTGTGAGACAGGTAAAGCATCATCTCAACACTTAATACACCTTTCTAGGTTTCTGGCTAATCTGTTGTTTTTGTTTTTGCTTTGTTTTGTTTTTGTTTGTCTTCTGATACTTTCCTTTACTTTTTCATTAGGTTGGTAGTTCATTGAAAAACATCTTCAAATATTATCTAGCATGCATTTGGGTTACAGAGAGGGGCAGTTTTCAAGGCTCTATTCTGCATGTTGCCAAAATGGATGCATCCCACTACTGATAACTTATACATGGCCCCCAGGATTGTTTCTTTCTCCCTTATTCTGATAACCTGAACAAACTGAGGGACTATGCTTCAGTTTTTTGTTTACTTACTACAAGCACATGGGGGCGCTTTATTGAGATCCTTAAGGGAAATTATTTCAAACTTGCATTAACCTCCTTAGGGAAAAGATGTAGCATTCTTGATAAAACCTTTAAATTTCTAATGTTAATGAGATTAAGACTTGTTTTAAACAAGGTATCTGCCCATAGTGTTGCATAAAAAATGAACATCAAAGTCTAATAATAATTTTAAGATTTTTTTTCCCTTTTGATGTACATTCTAACTAAAACCATTCTTTTTCTAGCAAAATGTTCCAACCAAGAGTGAATATTTGAATTGACTTCCCATAGAAATTTCTTTTTCTTGAACAAGACAAAAATAAAACTATGACATTGTTCTTAACTAGTTTGAAAAGATTTCATTAATGACTCTTTAATTAAGAAAAAAATCAATTACATTTTCAGTTTTCAGCTCTAAATTTATAGCTGCAATATATCATTGCACCCTATCTTTTACTGCTATCAAAATATTCCCCAGGAGCTAGGGGTGTAGCACAAAGGTTGATCACATACTTAGCATGTTTAAGAGCCCAGGTTCAAGCACCACCAGGAGATAAAGGAATATTCCTGAATTCTGTAACCTTACAAAAGCACAGTATGTTTAAAACTGTTATGCAAATTGAAAGACAGAATCTATCTTGAAACATTCAACTAGGTTAAGCCCAAGCATGTGTGCTTAATTTTCATTTCTAGTTGGAACACAAATTTTTCTGTCGTATTCTGGCTAAACTTGCACCGAAATTCATTACTATGTTAATCAAAAATGTATTAAACTTTTAATGCTCGTGGCTCTGTATGACAAAATTGAATATATATATAATATTTCCCTAACTCATTTTGATTCATTATGATGTAAGTTGAGATAGTATTTGATACTTGAACTGAAATATAATGAAAATTAAATACTAGGAGTGTTAGAAGATCTAGATTTCTTCCCAAATTTATTTTCTATGCACTGATTGTCTGTAAAACTAGACAAGTTGAATCACAATGAACTGGGTTCAAATTCCATTTGAGATGATTCCCTGAGTCTTCACCAAGCCCCTTATGCCTCTGGGTGGAAAATCATGTGTCTCTATTAGCCTTGCCATGAGGACTAAGTTCAGTCTACAATCCCCACACAGGAAGAGTAAAAGCACAGTGTTTGAAGGCTATGCATTGAGCTAACCCATGTTAATTTACTTTCTTGAAATGTCTTTCATGGTTTTCCGCTTAGTGCTTCATTAACATGCATTAGCTGTTCCTGCTTTTTAGCATCTCTACCATGAAAACAGCATAAAGTTTGTTACCACAAAAGGAGTAAGACATTTTGGTGTTAAACTATGATTCAAATTCATGAAAATCCACTTGTGTTTCAGTATAGATAACCCAGGGTGTGTTTGTATGTGTGTGGTGCTTACAATTTATGATTCCAAGGAGGAGAGGAATCAGTGTTTGAGCTACTTATGTGCTTGGCATTTTTGGTTTGTTTTTTGAGACAGGGTCTCCCTATAGCCCTAGCTGGCCTGGATCTCACTATGTAGAGAAGGCTGGCCCAGATCTCAGGACCTCACAGAGAGCTCTGCCTGCCTCTGCCTCCCAAGTTCTGGTATTAAAGGCATGCTTTAATACCACACCCAGCTGTACTTGGCATTTAATAACTAAATTAAAAGTCCTGAAAGCTCTTCTAAGCTCTTTGGTCATAATTGCTGCTAAAGGCATTTTCGTAAAAGACCTGACTTGACACTCTTTCCTTTTTTCCCAGTATCTTAAGTGAAAAACGCTCTGTTGCTTGGTTGTCTGAAACTGACAAGGGTCCAAGACACCTTACAGCTAATTTTAGTGGCAGACCCTCCTTAGCTAATATCTTTCTCGCCCCCACTCTCCGCCTCATCTTAGGTATGCTGTAAAGAGCTTCCCCAGTATCAGAAGTTGAAAACGCAGTTTCTATACAGACTTTGACCTCATGCTGGAGAAAGAGAGAGAGAGAGAGAGAGAGAGAGAGAGAGAGAGAGAGACTGTTAAGAAGGAAGTAAAGGAGACAGGGAGATAGGGAGGGAAGGACGGGAAATAAGGAGGAATCAAGAGTCTGAGGGAACCAGTAATCTTAATCTCCCAGAGAAAGACCTTCATCAGCACAACAGAATCCCGAAGAGACAGTGTATTGTTGTCTTGAAAGCCACAAAGCTAAGCAATTCCAAGAATGTCTGGCAAAGCCCTTATGAGTAGGGTGAGGTGGGGGACTGACTGGGAGGAGGACTTCCTCACCCCTCTCCGCTTCACACGGTGTGACAGGGTTGGGGAGACCCAGCAGAAACCTTCAGGTCACCCAGGGAACTGCTCCCGTGGCTGGTCCTGGCGCGGCGAGGCGGGGGGTGAGCGCCAGGCGCGCGGGGCGCGGAGATGTGCGAGTGGCGAAGCTGGACCGAGCGCAGCCAGCATCTACTGAGCAGCCAAGGCGAGGGGTGAGTCTCGGGAACCGAGGGATGCGGGCTTCCCTGTCGCCCTACCACCCGGGGCTGAGCGGGGGCTCGGAACCTCCCGGGAGTCGGGGCTGGGCCACTCCGAGCGCGTGGCGCTCTGGGCGCACCCGGGGGACGCACAAAGTGATGGGCGCTCGCTGGGGTTCGGGGCCGCCCTGCCAGCCGCCGCCCGGGCCCGCGCGCTCATTGGTCGGGATGTGTCTGCTCTGCAGCCTCCAACTTCTCCCCAATCCCACTGGTGAGTCCCCCGAGTGCGAGCGGCCGGGCGCGGGGGGCGGGCACCAGGGTCCCCCGGGGCGCTGGGAGCCGGTGGGACGGGCAGTGGGAGGACCGAGCCGGCGTGGACCGTGACCGATCCGGAGCGCGCGGAGCTGGGGCAGCGGCCGAGGTCCAGTCGGACGCGGGCGGAGGAGGCGTGTCCTGAGCTGGAGCCGCCACTGGGACCTGAGAGTGAAGGGAGGGGAAAGGGCCGAGAGGGCGACCTGGAGGAGGGCTCTGAGTGATGTCAGGTCACCTCCAGGTTCATTTCCACAGCTCCCCGCAGTCTCCTCCCGGGGAGTTAGGTTTGGTGACCGAGCAGCGCTACCAAATTGCACCCAGGTTGATTTGGGGGCTGGGAACTGGCCATTCCGCTGTACAGACACTCATTTTTTTTAAAGCAAGGTTTGTTTTCATTTCAGTTTCTGTCGGATTCTCTCCTCAATTAACTCACTTTTTCCAGTTTTTAATTTTCTTAACCTAAAGATCTTTTCACGATCCCACCTCTTTATCTTGCTTTGAATCTTGGTTTCCTATTATATAATTCATGCTTAAACCTCACAAGGGTTGGCTGGCGCGGGGTGGGGGTGTTCTTTTGTAGATGAAGTTTTTAAAGACCTTTTCTTATTTAACCGATCTCGATCTATTTATACTCTTTAAAATAAGGGTGATTACAACCATGTATTCCCCCGAGCCTCTCGATCAAGCCTAATCCTCCTCCATTTGCGATTCAAATGGATTTTATTAAACTGAAAACTAGTACCTGACTTGCAGCGTCAGCGTTTGGAAGCTGCTCTGGGCGAATGGACGGTGAGGGCGAGTAGCTCCTTGCATTTTTTTTTTTTTTTTCCTACGCTGAAGCTCTTAAAGTGTTTGGCTGTATTTTGGACGCGATGCCGTGTGTCTTCGGTAGCGCACTATACACCAGAGCATTGTGGTGAGATTTCGTGTCCGAACTCACAGTTCAGGCCGGTAAAACACCTACTAGTTCACGTCCGGGGAAACAAGATTTCTTCTGCCTACTACTTTCCTCTCCGGCTTCTACGGACACAATCTAAATATGGAGCTGGTTTCATCTTCCTCTGCCTCAGTTTCCATTAATGCGAACTGTCATTACCTAGCACAACCTCAGAGCCTCGTAGACATAAGTTGGTATTACAGTGTGCCGTGAAGATGAAAATTCCGTTGCTTCGCCTTGCTCTCTAACCGGTCAACTCCCTTCCAGGTTCCATGATTTAATTCTGAGAAGCTTATGCTTCACTTGCTTTGAAACTCAACTTATACTGAAGCAGCATACTTTATTCTTTCGGTTATTTTCCCAAATTGTAGTTTGTGGGGTTTCTGTTGACTTTGAACTCCTGATTCTCTAGTCCCTTATTTTCTACGTTGGTATCTGCATTTTAGTTTAAGCATTTAATGTGTTTCATTTGAGGTGAATTTTAAGAACCTAGGTATGTTTTTGCATATCCTGCCTTATAGGGAAACGTCAACTTTGTTTAATGTTCTGCAGTCTCTTCTTGTTGGCCTGTCCTCCCTTACCTGTTTGTAAAGGTGGTTGGATGTGGTTACATTGGATCTTCAGGTAACTGGAATATAGTGATATGTTCCATTCTGAGGTGTAGTATCCTGTCCCATATTTCCTTAAAAGCGGATTATGAATCATCCAGAGTTAACTAGGCAATGATGACAATGTTAATTAGGTTAAACTCGAAGCACTTCTACTTTTGACCAATGATTGAAAAGAGCAAAAGGCTTCTCTGAAGAATTTTCAGAATGTTTACAGGAGAGGCAGATGAAAGTTTTGATTCAAAGATAGCATTCCTTTGATACAGGTAAAAGGACTCAACAGCTTGTTACTGTCTTCATTTCTTTGTGAAAATTCCTGAAGACTTAGGTGCCTGTCCACTAGGAACCCAGCTGCCTTGGTGCCCTTCTCAAGGATAAAGAGGGGAACCAGGGACCAGTGACCCAGAAGGAAGAAATGCCTGCCTGCCAGCTTTCCTTCACCAGGAAGCTTGGTGGTGCCAGAGAGCACTTTGCGTTCAACCAAGAGGATGCCCTGGTTCCCCTGCTTTGGGCTTAACAGGCACACCCATTGACATTCCCAGGAAGAACTAAAAAAGAAAAGAAAGAAAGAAAAGAATAGGGTTTTATGCTAGCAAAACATTTAAGAGCAAACAGAGATGCATTTAAGGGAAATTCTCAAGCAGATGTGATTTTTATTCAGATGTTTTTGAAATCCAAGGGGATTGTGAAAATTGCTTTTTGTTTACTTCTCTGTAGAGAGTCCTAAGTATTAAATTTGCTCCTGTTTTTTCCCCAGCCACTACCACTATTAAAAGATGAATGCAATTCCCTATCATCACCCCAGGAGCCATGAGACTAAGCTATAATGAGTTATATAACCATTAAATAAGACATTTCAACATTCAGGTATATTGCATTCCACTTTTATTGAACAGACACGGCTTTTATTGTCCAGCAAACTATTTTTTATTTGATGACTAGTCCTGGCTTATAGCTTCATGTGAACAGATGAACAACAGGTTCAAGACTTTGTATCCAGCGTCTTAAAGTTCAACTGTGGTTTATTATTAATAACCCACTAGAGAAAGCAAACGTCTTGTCTGCTGAGTCTCTCCAACCATACTTCAAATGTAGAGTTATTTGTTGCTTTGTGTAGTGCCTCAGTTTCCACAAACTGCACCCTTGAGGACATCTGTGTGTTCAATAAAAATCTTAAACGACTAGAACATTTCTGGACACTTATTTCATGTAGGAGTTGAATTCTATGGTTAATTTGTGTTGAGCCATAAACGGCTAATCTGTTAAGGTGTTCTTTTCTACACTCATGCAGAAAAGGTGAAGTTTTCCAAGCTTTGCTGAGTGATTTCTAAAGAACCACCAGGCTTCCAAAAAAAAAGAAAAGAAAAAGAAAAAGAAAAATCGAATATTTAGGTTTGTACTTCCTTAATTTTCCACTATAAATTTCTGTAGTAACATCTAAAATAGCTTTTATTTCATGCTGCACTTATATTTGAAACAATGACCAAATGTTTGATGAAGAATATTGATTAGCTTTATCAGTTTGAGCAAACTACGTGACTTTGTGTTCCAGTCTCCTAAAGTGTAGAATTGGAACTTAATATCCATCCTATAATGATCAAACAAATTATATGACACTTAAGAAATGTCCTGGGCATGTGGAAAGAACTCTACAAACCCAACCTATGATTAGAAATATTAATAGTACTAATTTAAATACAAGCTAACTATGTATTGTAACAATGAATATCCTGAACACCAGAGAGGATTTATTTATTTAATCTTTCTTTTCCTCCTTCAATTGTACAAAGAAACATTGATGTGGTTATCTTTCATTGTTGGGTATTAGCCACTGATTTTGGTCCAAGGAGTGACCATTTTCAGAATGCTTTCTAATCAGTTAATAGTCATATCAGCAGGTATAGTAATTTTGAACTATAAAAATACAAGTTTTTTTCACAACTAAACTAAACTACCCCATGTGTTTGTTCCTTTAGATTTTTTTAATCTATATTTGTTTTTCAAATTAATGCTTAGTCAAGATCTCAAGGTTTTAGTTATTGATTCTTGAGCTTATAAAGGAAACCACTGCAGCAAGTTAACCTTTGACACTAGTCTAAAGTTCAGAAGGATGAGCTTAAAACTTTCTTGATGATGGTACAGTAATTACTTGCTTATGAACACCTCAAGTAATACTATGTAAGTATTTAACCAAATTTCTTTCTGGGGCCTTCAGTGATCCATATATTTTTATAAAAGAAAAGAAGTCAAAAGTATGGTTGGGCCTGGAACCTATCAAATTCACATGTCTGTATAATTGCATTACATACCTTTTATTTTTATCTACTTGTGGTATATTTATGTATGTATTTTGTAGATTTTAGGTGATGGGCAGATCAGAAAGTCAGATGGACATAACTGATATCAATACTCCTAAGCCAAAGAAGAAACAGCGATGGACCCCACTGGAGATCAGTCTTTCAGTCCTTGTCCTGCTCCTGACTATTATAGCTGTGACGATGATCGCTCTTTATGCCACCTATGATGGTGAGTGTCTTCCACACTTGGGCAGAAATCAGTGTAAAAGAGAACGGAGGCCTTCCTCTTGGGCTTTCCCCATCCATCCACATACACTTGGGTGATAAACAGATTTATTTATAAAATGCAGCATCAATGTGCTCAAACAGTGAACTTAAAATGAAGTACAGTGTTCTCATGTTTATGCTAGGCCATTAATTATCATATGTACTCAGTATTATCATAAATATATAATTTTATTTGATTAAAATATACACAATTTTATAGTCAACTTCAGTAACAGTCATTAATCAATTTTTATTGTGTCACTGAAATTCTAAAAGGCTTCACAGGAATTTAAGAAATCTAATTTGAGTCTTGGAAGTTTTCACAATAGGGATTAGTAAAGATTGGGTCTTTAATAGGAAAACATGATTATTGAATGATAAATGAAGTGGCTAGCTACTTCAATTTAATATTCATAGGGTTTAGTTGGTGGATATGATATAATAGCACACTTCTTTGTAATCATACCTCAGATATAGCATTTGCCTTTTATTCTCCTGTTACTTTGAGACTGTTAACAATGATATATGATACTTAGTGGTTAGTTCTTGCTTTAAGGAATTACTTATTTACTTGGTAGTTTATATTTAAAGAACAAAAGGTAAAAACAAATTGGAAAACCTGTATTATAAACATTTATACATCTACTCTCTTTTTCCTAGATGGTATTTGCAAGTCATCAGACTGCATAAAATCAGGTAAGCAGCCATTTGTACATTTAATAATTCCATAGTTAGTTATAACATTTAAAACTCATATGTGAGTGGATACATCTGTATTTCCTTTGTCTATGTTCATGCTCACTGTGGATCCTGGCTTTATAGTCAAGGGAAACAAAATATACTGAAACAGTATATTAACCAACCTGAGTATTCTAAGAAAATAATTCACTATTTTAAGGTAATAAAGATATGTTTCTGTGTCTTTAGAGCTGGCTATGTCATTAGATAAGGAAAATGAACACTTGAGTGGCAAGCACATGATTAAGTGTAAATCATTGGAAGGGTGTGAATTACGAAGAGTGACATATAAATCATGTGAGGAATGATAGAGAGTTAGATATTTGGGGAGAGTCTGGAAGTAGACTAAGATTTGAACGTAGAGGTATAGGAGAAGGAAATTTAAACAAGAAAGAACAAAACAATAAATCATGTGGGACTGAGGATATAGCTCAGTGGTAGAGTGTTTGCCTGGTGTAAATGAGGCCTTGGATTTGACTCATAGCATTACAAAAAAGAAAAAGAAAACATGTTATTGAGAAATAACAAAAATGTAACTTAATAGACCAGTGTTGTCAGGCAGCAGTAAGGGAGAATTGGGTGACTAAGTGGTGAGTTGTCAAATGAAAAAAGGGATATGAATAAGTTGAACATGATGTCATGTTGTAAAATCCAAGGAAGATGGTGTAAGCCATCACAGAAATACAGGAGTGAGGATGTGAATTAGGACATGTCTGTTCCAAGCTAGCATCCAGGTGAAGACAAGCAGCAGTCTGGCAAAGATGGGGTCTACGAAACAGGAGTCAGCTTATGGGTAATAGTCTAAACCTTGGGAATAGTTGAGTTCCCAAGAGAAGAAAAGAGGACAAAGGCTGAATTTAAGAAGACATTTAAATATTAGAAACTATAGTGTTGTAAGAAAACAAGAAGAGCACTTGTCCTTTCTTCAAGGAGAAGGAAGATACATCCAGGTTCACCTGCAATATGCCGTTTAATCTTTAGCAGTTGAGTAGTCTTATCTGGATTTGTGTTACCTTTAAATTTCACAAGATAATGATAAGAAATTACCTTGCAGTTCTGGACCGTAGTCTAATATGCTGAATATGTGCCTTTTCATTATCACTATTTTTTTTATGGATATTTTGCTCTGGGGTATTAAGTCATACACCCACCAGTATGACATTTGACACACGGAGCTTGAGGAATGCCTAGTTATACATTGAATTATAGCCATTTTCTGCTCAACTTAACAACATGTACTTTCCCATTCAAAGGTGTTCTCAGAAACAAAGACAATGTCTTTGCACTCCAAGGAAATAACTGCACAGATATCTTGGTTGAGAGGTTCCCAGGGTCACTGTGGAAAAGTTAGTATGAGCTGGGGTTGTTGAAGTTACCGTATACTACACCCCCAGATCCTCCCACCTCTCTCTCTCTCCCTCTCTCTCTCTCTCTCTCTCTCTCTCTCTTGCTCTCTCTCTCTCTCTCTCTCTGTTTTTACATCCTCACCTATAATAGTTGGCATCTCTGTCTTTAGTACACTTGACACGTCTCTCAAGTCTCTTAATCTGTTGGATTTTTTTCCTCTTCTGTCATGCTTTTTTCTTACACTTTGCTTTTGAAGAAATTGGGGTCTTTAACTTCACAGGCAAAGTTTTATAAGCAAGTACAGGTGATTTCCTTCCCAAGGATCTGGTAGGTTCCTGTAGTACCCATCTCCTGTAATGACATTTGGTATCTGAAAAGAAAACTTACTTGTGACTTGATGTTTAGGAATGTGGTTTTTAAATGTTTGGCAAGCCCCAGCTCACTAAAATTTATTTAGCCTCTAGTCTTTAATTACAACCTAGAAAACATAGCAAAAGTAAAAAAACACCTCAAGAGCATTATCTTGGCAGAGATGTGTGTGTAACAGAAATAGCTTCTGTGGCATAACTGTGCTTTTCCTCACTCTACTCTGTTGGTCCACAAGCTGTTAGAACACTTCCATATGCATAACTGCTTTTCTCGGGGCGGTGGGGGAGGGGGGATGAAAGTGACACACCCTCCACCTCACGCATGCTCTTGTTTACACTCTTCTCTCCATGCAAGTGGGTCCTTGTGGCATGCACATACACAAGTCTGTGTCTGGTTAGAAATCATTTCTGCCACAGAAAAGAAAATCTAGAGAAAAATCTTAGACTGAAGCAAATAATAAGAGTAAGAAGAGCTGAGTGGGTACAAAAAGATGGAAAGAAATACGTCAGAAAAAGTAGACCATCTTGGTGGCAATTCTATAGTCACTTCAAAAGACTGGGAGGATTCAAACCTGAGTGCAGAAATTCTTGAGAACTTGAAAAGTAGACCAGACGCTACTTTAAATGAAAGTTGGTTCCAACTTGAGTCTCTCCCAGTGGAAAGGAACATCTTGGCAAGTGTACTTTAAGGAATAGAAGTCAAGCCATACTGAGGCAGAAACAAAATATTAAAGTCTGTTAGGTGTTATATATTTTCAACCTGAGCATCTGTGATTTTATAATACATGTGTAATGCTTACAATGCATACTTCAAGTTAACTCACTTATATATGAATGCATCAGATTGACCAGACCTAAATAAAACAAATACTACTTGACAAATAATAACTTAAGGCAAAGCTGAAGACTTTATTATTAAAGTATGTTATTTATCACTTATTTGCCACTTGAGCATTGGAGTTACAAAGCTTGTGTGTGATTCTGCAGACTTCTCTATGTAAGCCTAAATCCTGAAATTGGCTTTTTCTGTTGTAAACTTCCTAACTCCAAAGATTTCAAGGAATCTTATCTCGACCTAATCACTGCTGACATTTGGGGATGGATAGTTCCTCACTCAAGATGCTGGCATTATAAGATGCTTAACAGCATCCCCTGGTCTCTAGCCACCAGATGCCCAGTAGCAGCCTCTACCTTACCACTGCAGGTGTCACCATATGTCCCTGAAAGTTTGCAGAATCATCATGGTTGGAAAGTACTGGTTTTAAAAATGTGAAGTCATTAGTGTTTTTTGTGTTGTGATAGGAAAAATAACAGTCCTTCAAACACATCCATGTTCGATTCCCAAAAACTATGAATATATTACCTTATTTGGTAAAAGAATCATTGAAAAGTGGCTAAAGGTTTTGAAATGGAAAGGTTAGCCTGGATGATTTGGGTGCCCTTCTATAACCACAAGGGCTCTGATAAGATGAAGAGAGCAGAGCATCAGAGTCAGAAAAGGCAGTGAGTGGGACCACAGATAACAGAGGAAGCAGGGGTCTCAGTGACACCGTCATGGTGTGCGGCCTCTGGAGGCTGGACAGCAAAGTGAGTGCTTATCCCCAGAGAGCACTGAAGAAATCGAGCTCTTCTGATCTTTTGTAGACTTCTGACCTCCCAAACTGTAAGATAATAAACCTGGGGTATATACTATTCTACCTCCTTCTTACAGGTGAACAAACTTGGACTGGGACTCCAGCCCAGGCAGCCTGGCTCCAGAGCCTGGGCTCATGATCACTTCTCTGTTGTCTCACAGGAGATCAGGAAATTGTCATTGAAATTTAATATCCTATGCTTATATATACATTTTAGAAGCATGGATTTTTGCTTGTTTGCTGCACATGGAACTAGCAGGTATAAGGTGACTCTGAGAAGAGAAATCCAGAGAAGTGTTTAAACATCTCTTAGGCCCCACCATGATATACAGATGTCTGTACTGGTCTATTTTCCATCACTGTGATAAAGTATCTGAATCTGAGCAACTTTATGCAGAACAGAGGTTTATTCTGTTCACAGCTCTTATGACTCAAAGGCTCACATCTGATGATGGCATTCATGTATTCAGAGCAGTGAGGTGTCATGACACCCAGGATGAGATGAGGGGAGCACAAATATGTGTCCTCTAGTGCCTCTCCCTATTCCTATAAAGCCACCAGGATTTAATCATTGTCAAATCCTGATCATCTCCTAAAGACCATCTTCTAGATGTCATAGCTGGGTTTTAATTTGTACTCCCTTAACCCCTTCCATGCGGATTACATTTTAACACATGAACTTCTGGGGAACACATGCAAAAGCTCTATCCAAAACAGAGCAGTGTCTAAAGAAGCAAGTGTTAGCAGGTTGACCGTAAACTATCCAGGCTCTAGAGAAGCCAGGATAAGACGCATGAGCAATGCAGTTCATAAGAGAGAACGTGGTACTATATAGATGATACACTGCACAACTGTCTGGTAACTTTGAGGAAAAAATCTGGGGAGCATAAAGATTTCCATGAAATGCCAGAAAATAGAGGCATTCTAGGCTAGACTATAATCTGGAACTCTCTTCTACTTCATTTCTGTACTTAACTAGTACACTATTGATGAGTATTTAATTATCAGTACAAAGAAAGGGGACATTCTGTTCACTTGAAATATTTAACGTGGTCAGATAATGTATTCACATTCTGACTTAAGTATCACTTTTGTGTGGCTTGACCTATAACCCTGAAGCAAAATAAATCTTCCAGTGTGTGGTTATCTCTGTAAAGGCCAGACAGTGATAATGCCTCAGATGAAGGATGCTGGCCTGGCAGCAACAGGACATCTCTGCTTGCTGAGGACCTTAGTCTCTTCTTACTCATTAACACCTTGAGGCCTTCATGAAGAGAAATGACACGAGTAGATCAGAATAGCTGAGACTGAAGGCTGACTCTTGGGTTTGTGAGTCCTGTGCAACCTTTCAGGGCAAGAGATGAGGCTATTTCATTACGTAAGTTTGAAAATTCCTCAGGCAATGAGAACGCAGCCGGTATAGAAGAGAAAAGGTCATTGAAGCACACTTTTGTTGGTTTTAATGCAGCACATAGAATTTTCTTTGGGTGGCTTCCTTGGTATAGTACTAAAGGCAGTTTTGTAGCTGTACTTCCTTTAGAATGTCTTCCATCAAAACTAGCATCTGTCAGTTAAATTCTTTCTAAAAAATTATTTGATAAACACACAC